TTTAAACATTTCTTCTGTAGAATGTAGACCTGAGAATAATATCTCGAATATATCAAGATTTGGCCAAGCAACTATCACAAAAGTTGGTCACATGATGGGTAACCAAAAAAATACTATCTCGATCGACTCCTTGCTTCGGAAGACACGTTAAGCAGTTGGCTCCGGCTGTATTAGCAGTAAATTTTAATACCCTCCAATTTCCATTGGGCCAGCGTGTAGGATTCTGGCAAAAAACTTAAGTTTTTGAGAATAATCATTTAAGATTTTGTATTTTTCTCAATTCAAGGATTCAAACCGATAATCTTTCATCAATCAGTGAGGTTAACGAGACCGTCGAAAGTAACAAATACTTGAGCGATTCTAGTCTCGTTGCGAGATTCGAAAATAACAAGTTCTTGAGAGAATTGACAATGTCGTCTTGTAGCTTAATTTTTTAAGTATTTGTCTAGTCAACGAAAGGTTATAAAATAAGATATTTCGAATACTGTCTAGGGCACTCGAGATAATTGAGCTTTTAAGTATTTTCCTAATTATTATTATATGTATTTGATCAATTTTGTATCCAAGATGCTACACTGATAAATATAATTAATTATAAATGCTTAATAAATCAAGGTCCATTGCGAGGTACTTGGGACTGGTGACCTAAGCAATTTTCATTAAAAATATTCTTAATATAATAAACTCATCTAATATGAGAGGGTAACTCATTTACGGGTGAAATATAATCTATATATTTGAATCGCCGAAATGTATGTGCATAACTTTCGAAAGACTGCATCAATGAGCATGATTCTTTTTACGCGTTCCTTAATGTCAGGACAAAGATTGTATTAAAAAAAAATTGAAAGGCGATGATGCGCTCTGAGACGGTTAACATTACCAATTGTCTTAGTGCTTCGACTTTGTAGTGGTAATAAATGACAGCAGCTGGGTTTTCAGCTCGTCACGCCTAGTGTCAAGCTCTACTTAACGGTTCGACTCAAAATAACTTACTTGCCTATGTACAGTTTTACGCTACTCCAAACGATGCGCCGCCAAATCCTCCCACCGAGATGGTTCAATATTGCAACTCTTCAAATGGCGTTTCTGAACATCTTTGTGCCCGAGGAGCTGTCCGCCCTTTTTTCGCTTACCCTCCTTAAGTTCAGAAAAGAAGATTTGCTTCGCCGCTCTATTCTGCGTCATACGTAATACACGTCTGCACCACCGAAGTTGCAGACTTATTAAGTATGTCTCTGTGCCACTGACCTTAGCTCGTCTTAAAATTTCATTGTTATGCACCTGATTGGAGCATCTGATCTTCATAATGGTACGACGCTTATATACTTAATAACCATACGTGGAATCGATCCAGAGTACTGAGAGAGAGAGAGTATAATATTTGTATGGATAACTGATGACACTTAGTTTACCACGCAATTTTATGCCACTTATATTCTATTTTACTAGTTAATAAAATAATAAAAAGGCTTTGTATTGGTAAAACAATTTTTAAATTCAGAGTTTCAGAATTAAAAATAAAGAGAAAATGTTTCAGGTTTAAAAAATTAGTAAAGGTGGAAGAATCGATTTAAAAATTTATTACTAAATAACATAATTAATATGAAAAAAATAAGCGTATAAAGTTTTTTCATTTATTCGCAATTTCATTCGATTTCGCGTTTTGGTAGCTTGCAACCCCTAATGTCTGTCTGAGATTTTCCCCATATTTAAATGAAGAGGTAAACAGATTATTACGTGGTTAGCGGGAAATTTGTCACCGTAAATTGCAAATGGCAGGCAAAAAACGTTTAAGTTCTGTTGATTAAACCCAGTCGGTTATTATATCTACTAATATACAAATTGTCGATTAATTTTAATATTTGAAAATAAATACTAAACAAATTGCGGACGGTCATGGGTTCGAGTCTTATCTCAAAGTACCTAGGGCGGATGGTTTTTTCAGCATTTGCCATTAAAACTAATTTCAATGTGGCAAGTCACGTCAAAAACTTTTTAAAATTATTTATAGCTTTATATGAGTCGTAAGTATAAACGTTTTAAAATTATGACATCGTGTTGGAAATTATTATACTCGTATGCATACATTATAATTACTAAATACTTAATGAGCCTATCAAAATCCCCACTGCTAGAGCTCAAGCCTTCCCTATGGATGGAATTGAATCAAGATGATTAGGGACAATGGCCCGTGACTCACCACGCGGGCCCATTAATGGGTGTTAACAATAGCAGATGCAGCCGGGACCATCGGCTCAACGTGTCTTCCAATGCACGGAGGGACACGAGATGATAAAGTTTTGGTCGCCTATTCCATGACGACCCTTGCGAAAGTTGCTTGACAGTTATCGGTTGTCGCGGACGAAGCGTATTATGACTTGTCTAAAAAAATTACCGTTACAATCGGAGGACATTTTAGATTTTGCCCATCGTGTATTTTATTCTTTACAAGCTTTTATTTAACTTGGAATCTATGTATCCTTTTCATTTGTTATGTTGACAGTTAACTCCACGAATATCTAATGAATAACGAATTCTTATGTTTATGTTTTTATTTTTTTTAAATCACCCCTGTCTATTTTCAAATATCTGGAGTACAAGAAGAGTTTAATCTTTCAGAGGTTAATAAATCGCTAATTTAGGTAAAGTTCAAATAAAAAACTCCTGTTATAAATAAACAATATTATTGTATAAATTTTTGTATACATATTAATATGTATAACTGATTTGACTAATTACACTGACTATATATTTTTCACTGAACAATTTTGGCAGTTCTTTTCTCAACTTCCTGAATCTTGGGAACAACCTGAAAAACAAACATTCACTTTACTTTTAAACAATTTTCTATTAATGTTAGCTTTTGAAATAAATACAATATATTTTTGTTTGGGTTTCAATTTACAAAATATGCTCAGCCCTGCGATTCTGTAAAACTTCAAACCCGAATTCGAATCCACTTAGGTGTCACTTCAAAAAGCGGCATTCGCTCAAACTTGAATTGGTAATAATGTTTCGTGGCATATGTGAAGTGAGTTACGAAATGATATCATCATCAGCATCAGCTCTTTTAAGTCCCCACTTCAGGGGCTCAGGCCTTCCTTATGGATGATTGCCATGACCCTCCACGCTGGCCCAATACGGATTGGAGGGTATTAACGACTGCAAATGCAGCCGGAACCAACGGCTCAACGTGCCTTCTGAAGCACGGAGTAGCTTGAGAAATTTTTTTTTGGTCACCCATCCCGTGACCGACTCTTGCGAAAGTTGCTTAACGACAACGATCGCGGGCCGCGGCGCTTATCCACTACGCCACCGAGCTACTCTACTACTACTAATGATATAGGATTAAAATATCTATGACACGTATAATCAATCAATTTGCTTTAGTATTTTTGTACAAAAAATGGAATCAATAGGATTTCTATACTAAATTAGGTTAATTCGTACCTTTAAAGTCAATTAAAAAATACTTATAGATAAAAAAGGAACAATGATTTACCTAAACTTGTTATTAAGGCATTACAGACGAGTTTGTGAAGGAGAATGCCTTTTCGTATGGGGATTCATACTAACTTGCGTCTACTACCGTCAAGATTTTATCACAATTTGACCGCATTTTTGAGATATTCCAAAAAAATTAAGTATATTATACTCGTATATTATATTGATTTTTAATTATATAGCCCATTTATTAATTATATAGATATGCGTTTAAGACTATACTTAAGAAATTAATTTGCACGATAAAGATTACTATACACCTACGATTTATTTTTAACAAAAAAGTAGGAACCATAAACGCCGACCGGCGTTTTCCAAGAAGAGTAACTATCTCAAGACAGCAAACCGCTTCGAACTAACAATCTCTATACGCCTCATTACAAAAGTAACTATTTAAATACTATCAATAGTTTTATTTATTAAAATAGCAATGCAACTCCTTCTTCTTCTTTTTTTAATATATTTGCGTTTAAACAATTCAGCCAGTTACGTTTGTGGGCAATACGACTCAAATGTAGCAAATATGTATTTAAATAGGGGACTAAACAAAGAGTAAGTTATGAGAATAAATGTCGATAGATTGACACTTGACAGTTAAATATCTTGTGGCCGTTATGCTGTTTTGAGTTTTTAATAGAATTATCTCCGAGATACCGGTGGATTTCATTTTCATTTTACATGTAAAAATTAATTTACTCACTTGACATTGTCAGAATTGTGTAAAATGCACAGATAAACAATTAATAAAAGAAAGAAAAAGAAGATGAAGAGTTTCAAATATAATACGTAAAGTATTTTTTTCTTGATTAGATAAAATAAAACTATTAATTACCATTAAATAATCATTCTACACTATAATTATGCGCTTGTGAAATTAGACAGTAGTTAAAGGAAGATATTTATATCTTTGCTTGTTTATAAAAACATTGAATACATACATTTTCAAGAAAATAGGTGAATTGTTACTTATTTATTATCACTTTTTAATGCGGTCAAAGATATGGTTTAAAACCAGGGGTACCCAAATAAAAATATTTTTTGGTAATAATGTACCTGTGACGCAATATAATATAGAAAAGGCAACCTCCTTTTCATATTAAGTAAGTATACATAAAAGTATCTTAATGAGGAACACACTAGTATCCAATTGGAATCAAAGCAAAGATAATACGTAATTTGTAATTTTGAAACTTATTTGATTTCATTTCGAATCATATTTTTGAAGGAAATTGTATAGTTGTGTAGCTACACAACTATACAATTAAATCAAAACTAGTACTAGCAGCTGCTAGTACTAGCTATTTTTACTTCGCCTGCATAAATTATGTCAATCAATTATACCTATGTCACCCGCATAATAGCATAAGCTACATCTTCGTGTGAAAGAAAGAATTTTCATGATCAAATCAGTATTTTCAAAGAATATCCCCTACAAACAAACAAAAAACCTCTTTATAATATTAGTATATTGATATATTAATTCCTCACCATGATCAGGGCAGTAGTGTCGCCGGCGCCTGCGCCGTCGCTGTACATCACATGCGTCTACACATGTTTCTTCTAAGTATAAAAAAATGATTTACTTAAAAAATAAGACCATATTCCTTTTCATTCCTTATAGATAGATTTCCTCTACATAACTTCACATTTATTTTAGATTACAATGATTAACAAAGTATATGCCTCATATTTAACAAATTGTTTTTGTAGAAACTGAAATAAACTTTAACGTCAATAGAAATATGAAAAATAATGAAATAATATTTCGAAAGCGTCATATCTCCCCGATCTAAGCTATCAAAATGTGTCTCTCAGTAAAATATTGTTTAGTAATAATTTATATTTGCTTATGTAACTATCTATTTAGATAAGCGGTATAAGCACAAGGTAATACTCGTAGTCGTCGCCGTAGTTCCTCTCGTAGCCGTAGCACTAGGCGAAGCCGTAGGTCTTCTTGTAGCCGTAGCATTAGTCGTAGTCGAAGTACTCATTAAAATTGTTAAAATGAATACTCTTTTGAACAGTCATTTATCAAGCTCTATACTGTATGAAATTATTTTTGGTACTCACCATCACAACACGGCTGGTGTGGGGGTGCCGCGTCGTCGTCGTGACGCGCGAGCGCACGTAGTTGTAGCGTGTACGCGCGCGATCCGCCTGACATCGCACCAGGTACACCGGCAAATGTCGCATACGGACTTATCTCGTACACATCTACATAAATGACAGACCAATGAAAATAAATTAAAAATCACCATGCGCAATTGAGAACTCCATCGATTATAATTATATGCAATCGGGTCTTGTTCGTGCATTTTTTAAAACAATTAATTTACCTCGACGTTCCGGCTACGTTACAGCAGCCGTGGTCACGAGGAGACTGGAGAACTGGCGGGTGTCGTCTTCTGATTTTAGTTGAGGGTAATCCGGTAATAATGTTTTTAACTGATTTTCAGATGTACCCTCCACTTGATTTTATATCGATTAATCTAAACGAGCCATAATAACACACGAAACTCGCAGCAAAAGTAGTCAAAAACAATTTTCGATACATCACCAACTTTATCATGTTCTGTTCTAATCTATCACATTAAATATACGTATATTGGAGCAAAACAGACGCTATATCGAAAATTCATTTCAAGAGTATAAGGCAAATCGCACCTCATCTTGACCGTTATTAACGCGATTTTTTTGGAATAAACAGTTTAAAGTCTTAAGATTTCTTATACTAGAACAGTGTTAGCCTAATAAACTATCCATCAATACATAAAATTTTATTATATGTTTATAAAAAAAGATCCAACTAGATAGTAGAAATGTACAGAAAACGAAGCTAACAAAAATAATTTATTCGAAAAAATAAAATTTTGTTTTCATCACGAAATGGCAATTTCATACTTAGCCGCTAATAAGATCTTATAGACATTTATTCATCACATAACGAAGTTATTAAGCCTTTGTAGATAAAACATATTTCTGATATATCAAACAAATTAAGTCCTCTGAGTTAATTTATGTTGAAACGAATATGAAATTCGTATCACGAGTTAAGCGACGTGAATATTCTCATCACATTTTATATATCTATAAAACTGTATATATTTTGGGTGTATACCTACGAGCCAAATAAACTTAGTCAAATTAGCACAAAAAAGAGACGAATCTTAAAATGAACTAAATAACTTAGAACCTCGTTTACCTTCATCTTGATATTTCAAACGTTATCACAAAAGTCTTTTAAAATCTAGTATCTGCGTCATGAGTTAGTGAAGGTCTAAATGAATCCAAATGAATCAACGATATATCAGTTTTTCTTAGTCCTTAGTCGTAAAACTTAAAGAGTAAAAGAGATAGAAAGCCAAAACGGAAAAATTAAGTAGACAGTGAAAACTTTAAAAAATCAAAAAGATACTGATTTTTTAAAGTAATTTGAAGAATGAGGGTAAGACAGATATTGAACTTCGTTGTCGAATATTATACCATTCATATATGTTACCGGCAATTTAGATAATTCAGTTATAATATACAATACCTATATATGCATAGGGAGATTAAGAGAATGTATGAAATTTTATGAATATTACAGTTCATTATTCTGTGTTCTGTATCTGCTATATGTATCTGCTATTCCACCGACAATATTTAAAATAAATAGATCGATGTTATATAAAATGATGTTCTATATTTATCAATAGTAACTAACCTGTTTTATTACCTTATATCTGTAGGTCACGTGATAGACTAGAAATTATGAGGTTATTTTTTCAGACGAAAGAAATCACAAAAAACCCTTGTCTTTTACATACTATACAACCACGCAATCAGTGTTGTATTGCCTAAGGAAAGTATAAAATAGATAATATTTCAAACATTACCTACACGTTTTAGGTATTGTACACAATACCGAATTATACAAATTATCGGTAACATATATATTATAATGGTGTATTATTTCTGTAGACTTACCTGGTGGGTCTGGAGGTAGTTTCGGTGTTTGATGTGGCGACGCGCGATATGTGCCACATGTTGGTTTTTCAGCATTTGTCGAAACGCGACCCACAGCACCGTCCGTTCTATAATATTCGTAATTCAGAACAAGCAAAAAATGTGCAAACATATACGGCAGCACATTGGTGCTATTTGTTAGAGGTAACATGCTACCTTTCTCGCTCAAACAAATGGCGTTTCTGAGTGTGAGAAAAGGATAGACGAAAAAGGCAAAAGTGTACTGCCAGATGTAACTTAACCATAAAAAGTGATCGGACGCACCTCATATCCCTGAAAACGATTAAACCAATAAAAAATAATCGTCATGTTATGTCCTACCGCTGGGGAACTAGACAAAACCTTCATGCTGGGTCATGACCCATCAGGAGAGCTTAGAGCGAATTATTGGATATTAACTATTGATACAACCGGGATTAACAGTTTAACATGCCTTTCGAAACACGTAAGAACTCAAGATATCAATTTTTTGGTTCTAACTTCCGCATAACAGACTTTAAAAACGTAGCATCCTTTGTGTACACAATTCGAAAAATGACAACATACGAATAAATTTAATTTAGTTCAAAATTAACAAAGAACAGTAAATTAACCCACAATAGACTTGTGGATTGTACATATAAAAGAAATTGCATGAATAAGTAAGTGAAAGAAAGAAAAATTAATATATCTGTGTGTGCCTGTTTTTCTACTAACAGGAAACCGTCAGCTTTTCGCTTATTATATTGGAAATTAAATTTCTTTATAAAAGATCTCTCATTTTTATTAATAATGTTTTTATAATGAAAATTCAGCTTTTTTTTCTGCACGAAATATCCTTTTTAATATATGTATTTAGATGGTTAACATCAAAACGAAGTCTTTGACAATGTTCATATGAAGATATTACTATGCAAATACTGAATCCTAATCAGATCAAAATGTAATTTATTCAATGTAGCCTAGCCTACCAAAGAGAATTTAATCTCTGCTAGGCAGGCAGGCTGAACCTTTTTCAGTCACGGGTTTGTGTGCGAGCTTTGCCGCCCTCACCTCTTCGTTTTATGCAAACTTTTACTATCAGGGTTTTATAAGTTCATTATTTTTATTAACTATCATTATTTAGTTATTTTATTATACTTTATTAACCTTCTAAGTAGAGTTCTCTCCGCGCAGTCATTCTACGGCCGACACTTGATACGCGATGAACAGGGACACAATAACACGTCCTGCTCATATTTATTAGCATAAGTGAGACAAAATTACGTAATATAAAAGAATAACTACTCTAAACGAAAAATGCTTAAAAAAAAAACAATTTGTGCCTGGCACTCCGACATGGGACTCGAAGCCACGACCTTTCGTAATCCGGGCGACTTCTAATTTTTTCTAGTGCTAGCTATAGAAACACTGAGTCTTCGTGTAAATTTCTTGTATTTAACTATTACCAATTACATTATTAATGAGACCCCTCTTGGGTAAGGTCCAATGTCCTTATAATAACCAAAATGGTTCTGTCGGTCTCGTATAATGTGCTTAGTAACATCACTTCAAAAACTTAATTAACGGACTGTTATTAATTTTTTTAGTAGACTAACATTTAAAACAATTAACCTTGTAATGCTCGAGTATTATAATAGGTATCTAAAAAAATATTATTAATTTTAAGTAACGTAAAATAAAGACTTTTTATTGAAATATTTTCGTAAAACAAAATTAATTAAAAGCTTCCAAGTAAAGCGTTCAGAAAAGATAATATGGTATATTATGTATGATAAAGATTTGAATATAAAATGCGTTTATATTTTTATAAGTGAATTATGAAGGACCACGATAGCGCAGAAGTTAAAGGTATCGCTCTACGACCATAATGAAAGAAGGACAAACAGACACTATTTTCGGGTTATATTATTACCTAAACTAGAAGAACTTATTAAAACTTCCATTTTCTTTCAATTGTGAATTAAGTACTACATCTGTTTTCAGGACAGACTTCTAAATATATATTAATCATAATTCAATAAATCTGTAGTCTAATTGTCTTATTCCAAAATTTATTTATTTTTTCTTTATTTTCGTTAAACACAAATGGCAGACTCAATGCCAAAGACATTGTCTGCCAGTCTAACAAAAACAGATGTTGGAGTCTGGATGTTAGGCGATAAGAATAAATAAAAAATCTCTTGAAAATCATTTTATTCTGAGCAATTTTAATATGAGCTGGGAGAGCATTCTAGAGACGAATAGCTGTCAGAATAAAGAATTTGGAAACAGAATCAGTATGATGAACGGGACTTTGAAGAATGAGGTTAGCGAAGGCTACTATAGCGAAGCTCACGTTAGTGACTGGAACCAAGATATTGAAACCTAGACTTAAATATCCAGGGGTACATGGATCGTAAAGGATTTTGAAAAGCATACAGAGAACTCGCAAGTTCCTGCGTTGGTGGACAGTTAACCATCTGAGTTGTTTCCTGTATTCAGAGATGTGATCATATTTACGAAGGCCAAATATAAACTGAATAGAGCTGTTAAGCAAACAATCCAATTTGTTGAGAAGAAATTGACTAGTGTCAGACTAATAGACATCAGCTTAGTTGAGAAGCAAGAAAACAAGAGTCTGCACTAATGCAATTTTAGTACTATATGGCCTAAAATTTTAACACTGGACTGAAACGGGATGACTTGTCCATTATACAGCAGAGGAGTTAATGTGGCACTTGTCTGCCTGATCTAGAGATTGCCTGCATATAGATGATAAGAAGATCGAAGTCGAGTAGTAAGAGAGTTAATAAATAACGAGAAAGGAAGGGGAGAAGGTATACCCCATTATGAGACACCGGTAGTGAAGTCAATCAAGCCAATCAGAAGTTTATGTTTAACTTGCACAGCCTATCGGTGTCCACAAAGATACGACGAGAACCATTCCTGAGCTGTAGAAGAAAATCCGATGTGAGTAAGGATGGCTAGAAGAATCTCATAGTTAACAGAGGCGAAGGCGTTAGAGAAGTCTATCAGAACCATAATTGTAAGCCTCGAGTGTGCACTGCTCTTACCGAATTTTCTCTAATATATTAAGAAGATCAGTGGAGGTCAAAAACCGAACTGAAAGGGACTGATTAATTTCAGTCGGTACACATACGACGAGAGTTGGCTATGAACATCAGCTTCTAAAATTTTGGACAGAAAGGGTAGAATAGAAATGGGCCCGAAATGCTTTGGATTGGAATAAAAGGATTAGGTAGTGGAAGAATGAAGGAGTTTTGCGAAGTGTATGGAAATACGCCAGAGGAGAGGGAGTAGTTTAGAATAAAGGTAAGAACAGGAAGGACACAATCAAGTATGAGCATGACCATTGTTCTACCAATATCGTCATCACCCACAGCTTTGGATTTGATGGATACTATGATCTTATAGGGTCAGAAATAGGGGCAACAGATATTAAATGTTTATTAAGTTCATCTAGCGAGCAAGATCAACTTAACTAAGTGGGCCTTTTACCGAAACCCAAAGAACGAAGAATCTTCCACATATCGGTATGATTAGAATTTACAATGTTGTCATGAAAGTAATGGCGTTTTGCCTCCATCACATTGCAGCGATTCCTGGCAGATTTAAAAACGTTCCAGTTTAAATCAGTATAGCATCTTTTGAAAGCACAGAAGCACTTATTTCGTCGTCTCATGGTCATGCGCACACCAGGAGTGATCCATGACGCTGGAGATCTTCTCACTTTAACATGATTTTTAGGTGAGTGTTTATCGAAAATCTGTTGGACCACATTATTGAATATATTCACCATGTTTTCGATAGATGTTGATTCGCGAATAGGTGTCCAGCCAAGCGCATGCGTCAGACTTAACTTTATCCACATCCAACCTTCTGAAATTGCGCATCTCTACTAAAATAGGTTTGAGTCTAGGAACTTTTACTTTGTAAGTCAAAAATATAAGGTCGTGTCTGGCGCAGCCAGGCGCTAATAGTTGACCATGATTAGATACATTATCTGCAGAAGACGTGAAAATGTGATCATTCCACGAGTCAGAGGTGATAAGATTATGATGACGAGAAAGAACTGAAAGGTTAACGGACTCAATAAAGGATCGTAACTTACGAGTGGCGGCAGTATCTCTTAAAAGGTCAGTATTGAAATCATTCATAATTATAAGATGAGAGTAGTCAGTTGCGACCGAATTGAGAAGGGAGCCTAAATCGTTTAGATAGTCAATAGAAGGTGGACAATATACCACTCCCAGGACCACCTTGACACCCTTAACGTCGACTTCAAGGATAATATATTCAATGTTGACAGAGAGCGAGGAAGAAGAGGCTAACTGCGTGAAAGAAGTAGAACTAGATATAAGTAGATAGCTACCCCCTCACCATCCCTATTCATACGATCATTACGAATAATGTTGTATTCTGGGAGTTCATAAGATGAGGAAGATGGACTTAGTTGCCTTAAGCCAACTCTCTGAGACTAGGATGGCGTGAACCGTGTCGGAAGAATCGGTATGCAGAAAATCAAAATAATTCCTAGGAATGCTTCTAGCGTAGATATTGCAAGTATTATGACAAAGCTCAAGTTCGTGCATACGGGAGTTGCGAAGACCAAATGAATCGATATAATAGTACTTATTAGAAGTTATAATTAATCGGTAGCCAGCATAACAGCAAAACATCGCAAGTATGAGACAGAGTCACCCAACGATACAAGAAATATAAGTAATATGTATGGTTAACACCTTGAATTGCAAATATGCATATTTTATCAAAAATTATACATATGATACAGAGTAACTAATATATAAATAAGGACAATCAGATTTATAGAACAGTATAGTTGACATTTGAAAGATATACACGACCATCACGCGACGTGTTTTTGAAAGATATTGAATAGGGATGATGACTAATTTTTGTTTGTTTGTCCGTCAGGTAGAGTATTAAAAAATATTAAACACGTATTTTTTAATTTTTTTCGTTATCATAAAATTACGGCGTTACATTGAGTTGAAATTTCGCATGACGTCACGTTAGAGTACGTTTTCTACTCAACTGTGACGTAGCGAGCCCTCACTCCTCAACTTTAATGCCTGTTATCTAAGCTATTTCTTGTTAAATTGAAGTAAAAAAAAAAAATACTTATCTAATATTTTTCTATTATCTGACTGACGGACTAAATAGAATTGCATTTTTTTTACCCAGTCATCATCCCTATTAACGATAACGTTTATCTGACGTTAATCGTAATTGTCTAAGCAAGGTGATAGTTACGAATATCTCTGAAATCTATTTGGAAATGTCAACCGAAATGACGTCTATGACATTTGTATTATTCAAATTTTAACTGATTTTAATAGTTACAAGATTCCATAAATCACTTATACAACCTCTATACGATTAAAAGGGATTATGATGGATTTTAAAATTAGGCAATTTAGCCACTGGTTGTTTGTTGAATTGAATAGGTGACGTGGTAGATTTTATCTGATTTATTATATTCAAATCGTCCTGTTTGCGGATTTACTTTTTGTCTTTTACAGTAAAACTTTTGCATTAAATGTTTTTTTTATAAACACACCTAAATGTGGCCGCTATCTTAGCCGCCATCTTGAATTTTGAAATGTCAACCTCATAGCTATGTAGCACACCTATTAGCATATCTAATGCAGTTTTTATTATTTTACTAGCGGAGATAGTGACTGCGCATGATTCCAAAACGTGAATAGTAAGCATTAAATCTTCAAACCGCCGTAGCTGCCAGGGTTGCCAGGTGTAGGCGATGAATATTTTTTTTGTGAATCTCAAAAAACATCCTAAAATCAGGTTTTTTTTACCATGATAAAGATTCGATAAATATACACAATCGTGCAAGATGCACATGCTCTGAAGCTCTGAAGTTGCCAAGTCGGTCAAAATCAAGTTTGGATTTCAAAATTTGTTGGTCTCAGTGTTGCCGAAAAAAAAGAGAAGGGGATACGGAAATCACCTTACAATTTTTTTATGTGGCAGTCTTACCAACGTTGTTGCTATCTTAGAATAATAACTAAAACATGCGACGAAGAGTGGCCGATTAAATTATATTTTTCAAAGACAAATATATGAATTTGATGCCAAAATTATGTCAGTCTGTTAGGGAGTTGGGTCGACATATGAGGAGGGTCAATGAGACTAACTCGATTTCGGAGTGAGAGGTCATATGTTGAAGTCTATTTATCATCACTTCAGTTGAAATTGTCTCCTAAAATTTTCTGTTTTAAAGTTAGAGCAGACAAAGGTAAGTATAATGAGCTACTGATCCAATGAGACCATCGAATTTTAATATACTCAAATACCTATTATGTTCATGTAACATACTCCCAAATATTTCGATAAATATTGCACAAAAACATTTTCTATACTTTAAAATAAGATAAAGATTCATTAAAATTTTTAATTTTTAGTTAATTTTGAATTCAAAATTTCGATCAAAAGGTACAAATATTTTATGTTATTTGTATAATTTTATAATACGCATTATTTTTGAAAAAATAAAATATACAGTAAATCACTTTACGTATCATATTGAAATATTATTCATAGTTAAAATTAAACATTTGAATACAATAGCGGAATTTTAGAACAAACTCCTTTATTTGCGTTAGAAACTTTAGTTTCTAAAAGCTTAAAAAGTGAAGTATTTATTATAAATAAAAAGTATTATAACGCAGCTCAGTCTGACATGATAATTAGCATGTTATTAAAAATAACTTGTAGTAATGCTCAAATTTAACATGGAAAAATATTTAAATTTTACATATGAAATAAGCTTTATTTTCAAGAAATAATAGCGCCAAGCTTATGCCATACAATATATATAGTATTCTAACTGCTTTTACGCGACTTCGCACGCGTAAAGAGAGATAACGACTGGGTAAAAAAAAATGGTAATTAGTTCGTCATTCAGTTAAAAGCAAAATACTAGATACCTATTTTTATTAAATGAGTTGCTTATATAGGATTACATTTACTTCAAAGTTTATTTTTTATTTTTTTGTGATTTTCACAAAAGCTTGTTTCGTTTTAATTTACTGTTAATTTTTACTTACTTTACCATTGTTTTTTATCATTGCTCATCTTCAGTGCGAACCCTTTTATTTGATTGTTTTTTATGATTGCTCATCTACAGTGTGAACCCTTTTATTTGATACTCATTTTATTGAAAGTAAAAAATAATCATTAACACTCTTTTCACAAATAATGATTTAGTTCAATGATCACCTATAAATAAGTTACCAATACAATATTGCTTTATCTAGTCTACATTTAAATCTTCTACAACATGACAAGCACCAGACGGATCCCAAGTAACTCTTGTTTTATGAATGCGGTCTATTTATAGAGCTCTGTTAAGAGGCTCATCATTATGGATGACAACTCGAGATGAAGTGATTCGCACATGTCCCGAGATCTCGTGAAAAGGGTCGATTGTCGATAGGTCATCCTATGTCAGCGCCTTGTCACCGCCAGATATCAAGTGATTACGACCCATTTTTATGTGACTTTAATAGCGGTACACCATTTATTGAGGATTTGAAAAAAAAAAGATCATTTTGATCAAAATAGTGTAAATAAACCAAATTTGAGTCTAAAATGCTCTTAAACGCAGATGCACAAGTTCATAAACCAAAGAGTGTAATAATTCATAAACAAATAGAAAATTAATATACCACAAATAAACGTGACAAACACGACATTGGCAGTGGATGACTATTATTTTCGCAATTTAAATTTATCGAAAACTTGACAAAGTCAAAGTCAAAGTCAAAATAATCTTTATTCAAATAGACTTCTTAAAAGTAATTTTGAATCGTCCAACATTTTTTTCCCTACCGCTCGTTCAGGACGTCTTTTGGCTGATAAGAAGAACGAGCAAGAAACTCACCAGCTCTAATAGGAGTAATGACATTTACAAAAACCATGCCATTACCAGATCAATACATTATAAATAAAGAGAAAAAAAAAGCAACTATGGTTTTATAATGATAACATAATCATTTAATAATAATGGAAGCAAGATAATTTTTGATATATAATGAGTTAAGAAGTAATCACCTATCCAGTTGCTGGATCATCTCAAGTTCAAGCATTCTTATCTGTTATATAATCTGATACCTTATAGTAAGCTTTTTTAATAAGTATTATTTTAATAGTAGATTTAAACTGCATGATATCTAATTGTTGTATTTTGCTTGGGACCTTAATGTAGATGCGCACACAAAGACCCCTGAATGAGTTATTAACTTTTTGTAGTCTAGTGACAGGCACCGTTAATTTATTTTTATTTCTTGTAGTAATATTGGCAGAATTGTGTGAAATGCGCAGATAAGCCATTAAAAAAGAAGAAGAAGAAGAACAGTCATCGCCATCTTTCATTCATTTCATTTTCATTTAACATGTATAAATTAACTTATTTACTTGACATTGGCAGAATTGTGCGAAATGTGCAGATAAGCCATTAATTAGAAAAGAAGAAGAAGGATGATGATTTTTTTCGCAATTTAAATTTATCGAAAACTTGACATTGGCAGAATTGTAAGAAATGTGCAGATAAGCCATTAATAAAAGAAGAAGAAGAAATTAATCGAATTTTCAGTTTCACATGCGATGGTTCTTCGTTATACTAACGTACATACAGTGAAGAAATCAAAATGCTTAATGGTTAGGCACAATGTGGTGATACTGTGCTCGCCATACGATATGTGATCGCAAGACTATGCTAGCCAATACTCGTAACAAGTAAGAACCATTATTATTGTCTAAACTTAAAAAAACACTTTGAGTCTCGAAACAACAAAATAAATATTTCATGTCGAGAATATTTATTGGTAGGTAGCTGGTATCATTGTGGTATTGCGCTGTAGGTACATACATTTGTAGTTGCAGGCTAAGCCGTAATTTTGACGTTATTGTGTGTATTAGTAAGCTGTCCAAACTGTTACCCAGCAATAAGTATAATTGTGTCCATACATAAATAATGTTTTAGTACATAAAAGTAAAATTCAAATTTCGTTTTGTTATTACAAATACGTTTTCTAATCGGGGTGTATAAGGATTCTGTTACACGTTTTATAAGCAATAAATAAATATGTTACATATAAATATCTGCAGACATATGCTTTTAAAACAAAACACATTTAAAAGCAACTGCCGGCCGACAGATGTGAGGCTATTCTATATTTTGAAGATTTACAAACACATATTTGAGATTGATGGCGCAGTGGTTAGCGCGTTCAGACTGCGATACGGTGGTTAAGGAACTTTCGTAATGGCCGGTCATAGGATGGGTAACCAAAAATGTATTTCGAGCCCCTTCGTGCTTCAGACAGCAGGTGGTCTCGGCTGTATCTGCAGTCGTTAATACCAATACGCACTGAGCCCTCGTGGTGGGTTATGGTCCATTTTCCTTATTCAGTTCGATTAATATAATAATATATCCCATAAAGGTGCCGTTTAATGTAATACCTATACTAAATTTAATTGTATGAAATCGCAACAAAATATACTAAATGTAAATTGAACCATGCACATTTCAATTGTTTTTATAATTACCGCGAATTAACAAGCTGTTTATCATATTTCTTTGCTACTACCCCAACATGAATGACAAAGGATATTTCAGCGCTACTTTGTGATAAAAACAGCCTCAAATTCAATAAGCGCAGCGCTTTCATAACAAAGTGGTTCGATCAAATAAAACCTATTTCAAAGGATAATAAAAGTTTTATTCCATTAAAGCTCAGTGACATGCAGTCGTCGAGTCCAAGACTGTTTCTTTAACAGAATAGCATCGCTGATCATTATCAATATCTAATTTGCTATCCATTTCAACAATCTCGAATAATGTATGTCTGTGGTGTATATAAATTTCATCGATATCTGGGTTCAAACCCTATTCCAATTGAGCAGCAGAGTAATAAATTATTACGTTGGTGTAAGAGCATGTGAATATTCCCGCTACTCGTTAACAATTCCAATTATTACAGAAACGAATCAGTAATATTGGATGCAAATATAATCAGCGAATATATTTGTAATAATATTGGTGATTTAATATTACGCTTATTTGATGATGGTATTATTTTCAAAGCAGATAATCACTCGCTTTTTGAATATAATTAAATATTACTATACACAGAATAGCTGCCATGTTTGAATAATTAACGGATTTCAGGAACGCCTTACATCGTAAAAGGGAATTTATAAATAGTAATTTTGTATGATAATGCTTTAATCCTCTATATGTAAAAAAAATACACAAACATCAGCAGTTTTCTCGAACATTATAATCAGCCTATTAATGTCACCACATGAAACAATTAAATAGGAAAAACGGTCACGTGGGCTTAATACGAGTTAGTGAGTATTAAAAACTGCAGATGCAGCTACGACTAACAGCTTAATGTGTCTTTCGAGCGTGGAGGAGGTCGAGATAATAAATATTTGGTCTCCCATCCGATGACCGGCCTTAACTTAACTTACAAATTACAACAAATTACAAATTAACAAATTAACCTCTACAATGCAGACTTAACGCACTAACTATTATGCCATTGAACTCTTACTATCGAACGCCAATTAGCTCAATACGTCAACGTCAAGTGTTAAGGTACTATAAACATATATACAAACTCACCTTTTTCGTCTCAATAAAATTGCTAATATTGTCAGTGCAGCCAAAGACAACGCTGCGCATAGAGCCAGTAATAAAGCCAGTTCCCCTGCAGTGGCAGGGAAAGGGGCATCCACTTCTTCGGCAAACCCTCCTTCAGAAGGAGACGTTGTGAACTCATAAACTTCACGGGTCATACCCGCTTCATTAGTAGCTCGAGCTGCGACACGATATCTAGAGCCGGGCGTCAACCCTAAAGGGTGAACAGATTTAATTAAAACTATATGAAAGTACGTAAATATCATACTTAAATGTACAAGCACAGTTCCTAAATGTACAGTTGCATGACTTAATAAAATTTTATAAATCAATCCTGATTTTAAATTACATTTTAATATTAACAATTTATGGCCTTGTTTTGCCAAAACCAACCTGAAGAAAAACACAACAAAAAAGTACTTAGCCAAATCAGTGCATCCGTCCGTACTCGAGTTTTGTGCTTAACTATCAATAGAGAAGTGAAATTTTAAGAAAAAATAAATTAAAGGATTTTATCTTCAAATATTGTTATACGTTTTTAACTGAGATTTTGCGCTAAAGGCAATTTGATACAATACAACTTAGTAAAGAAAGAAGATGTATTTGAAAAAAGTTAACCAAAATCACCTCTGTGGTTAAATTCCTTATTAGACAAATGAGACGTTGCGTTTTTCCTTTTTAAATAGTAAATCCACCATGTTAAAGTGCACAACGATAGTAAAGCTGACAATTATAATCCATAAAAAAGTAAGACAGTTACCTCCTAAAATAACTTCTCCTCCAACAGGCACATCCCTCGCTCCAGCTACTCCTGAACCAGCCCACTCTAGTTTTAAGGCAACGGGTGCACAACCTCCATCGTTCCATGCACTCGTATCAAAACGTGCGTGAGTTGAATTTGTGCGAATCCACCTATATTAAGTAAATGTCGATGACTTGTAAAATCACTAATTTCAGTCAGGTTTTTAGTTTATATTTCTTGTTGATTTCAGAATAAAGAAATTTATGCGCTCGAGCGTCAATTGCTACAACAAACTAATAGTATTAACAAATATTGTGGGTATTTAAGCATTTTCTTTTTATGGTTGCCAATACAATAAGTAGTATTAGGAAATAAAATATTTTTTTGCAGCTTACTAACCTAGAATCTGGTGGTGCTATAGGCGGACCTCCAGACGTTCTCACAGCTAGTTCAGATCCTGGTGGGCCTCCCGCTGTACCATATGCTTTATATGAAGACCCACATCGTAATCCAGTCAGAGTCACAGGTCCAGGATTTGCTGATTGTATGCGCCACTCGCCCTAAAGTTTAAACTCTTTGTTCTGAACGACTGCTTTCGATCACTGATTAATTAAATTTTGATTGGATGTCAAACTACTTTTGACTTACTTTTAAGCTTTCAATGTAATTAAATCCAATCATACAAACTTCTTTGGAAAGAAATCAAAACTTTTCAATGCTGCAAAGCCTTATTTATGTACTTGGGCGTACCTCTGGCGTCGTCAGCTTCCAGTGCAAGGTAAAAGCTTTTGGGATCGCGTGTCCAGTTGTTTTCGGCGCGGGCCGCAGTTCAAGTTCAAGTTCCCTGGGTCTGGCTTCAATGAGAGCTAAAGCGGGAGGTGCAGGGGGCTTGAGTACCACCACTCGCCATGTAACTGAATCAGATCCATGTGGATTTTCCGCCAAGCATGAGTAGTTATCCGCATGAGACAAATCCAAATCTATGGGAAAAAGCTCATTATTAGAATACAATTGCTGCGCCAAAGGCCTTCTTTGTAGATAGAATCAGATAGAGAGTACAGCCCATAATACATGACGTGAAACCAATGTCGACTAGTGAGTTCATATAAGATATATATAACAATAAAGCCAAGTATATTTAGATTTCATTATATTCTCGACCCATAATAGAACATCTATCTAGCTTTTCATTATCTACACACTTACTTCTAATCAATAAAGCGTCTCCATCTAAGTGGAACGGTGGGCGCGGATGTAAAGGGTTTCCTCCTCTTAACCATCTTTTAGCCGGTGGTGGGGTACCACCAACAACACATCGTAAAGATAACGTAGTACCCGCTGCACCTAATGACAGTCCACCAAAAGACGATATCCTGGCCGGTGCTAAAAAATAATTATAAATATTATGAATGCAAGTCAAATATGAATTTTTAATAAACATAATCTATAAGAATTATATTAGGGTTTGCTAAAATCGTTGGTCGTGGAACGCCTGAATAAGCAAATAATCCATCGTATACTAAAGCATATTTCCATGATATACACGATGGAACTTCCATAATACGAATGATTAACGGGAAAAAGTCGTTTAAATTCCTACAAATTATGCTGGTGTTTGTCATGACTATATTCTTACCCAATCCACTAGTCTGACATGCTACAGAAGGTGAAGGTGGACCCTCCCCTGCAAGTGTAGCTGCCTTCACCCACGCTTCGTAGGTTCTTCCTGGCCTCAGACCTCTTAAAGTTCTCATACACTCAACAGAGGCACCTTCATTCTCTGTACACGCATTCACTCTTGTCGCGTTTGGTTCTTGTGACCTAATTTATAAATTATCATATGAATTTGATTCCGTTTTAAAGATATATATAAAGTTAAAATTATACTAGATAAAAATATTCACGAAATCATTTCCACAACGAACAACCAGACTGATTCTTTGGTATAAATCAGTCTTCCGAATACCAAATTTATTAATTTTCAGAAATTCAACTTTTTTCTCACATTTCATAATTACCCTAAAAATAAATTAAGAACACACTGTTGCTCAAATATCTACATGAAACAAATCATCTTAGACACGATAATGACTCACCCCGATAAGTCTTTGATGTAAAGTGTGTAATGCGTCAATTTGCCATTAGGCTCCGGAGGTGGCAACCAAGACGCCCGTAACGATCGATCGCTGAGAGCAATCAATTTCATACCACCTGGAGCACTCGGTACTAAAAGCACGATACAAATTCTAATAAAGGGAGAATTGGAGCGAACTGCGAATACGTCTCAAAGTAACCATAAAATGTGCCTAATGTGCCTAAATTGCCCAAAACAGTTTCTTACGTCCGTTAATTCATTAATGAAAAGCTAGTGAATAACAATAATTATATTGCTAGCTAGCATTAGCTTTCATTAATGAATTAACTGTGTACATTAATCATGCTCTTATTCCGCAGAGGCTCAACAGAACTTTAGAGCTCACAAGATTACATATCAAAGTTAGATTTAGTAAGTATTTTAATTAGATGTTATCATCAAATATCAATCAAATAGAACGCTACTTAATGGCACTATGCCATTTGATGTTACTTAATGTTTTTAAATAAGCAAAGCTCTTTACAAAGTCCGTTAAATGTAAAATATAACCCATTTTCCGTTATTTACATCCCGTACGGGCTGAGAGCAGCGATACATTTATATTTTTATATTATAACGTAATTATACGTATATTTCTGATTGTATGTATGTTCGTAATTATACGTATATGTCTGATGTACATAGTACGCAAAAAGGTGCAAAGTTAGGTAAAAAAGTACAAACGAGAACCTGTAATCCATACATTTATAAAAAAGGAAATGTCCTGACTTACTGGACAAATATTGAAGTGGACGTTTTATGGGGAGTAAAAATTTTAACATAACAACTGTTTTTTATTATTAGATTTGTCATTGTCATACATCAAAATTTTATTAATTATAAAGATTTCGTTTTAAGGTGATGAAAATTGTTATTCGAGTATATAATTTATAACGAAAATAATATTTCTAATTAAATTTTTTGAAAATATTCAAGTACAAATTATTTTATATACAAAAGAAAACACATATTATATATTTCAAGCTATGCTAGATGACTTGAAATATATTTCTATATCACACTGTTTTAATCAAGGTTGAGTTTTAAAATAAAATGTAGTAAGAAATTTTAACTTTTCTATACTAAATGGTGTTTATTCGTAATTAAATCCATGTATCGTATTTTGCGTAGATTTCATCTTTCAATTAAGTTTTATATAAACTTTAATTTTGTGTTGAGTTTTTCCATCTATTTTTTTCAGTTTTGAGAGATAAATTACTGAAACATATTGGGCATTAGTTAGCTAATTTCGTTTATAGCTGATACTGTACCTCAAATAAGTTAATATAGCTTTTTGTAATAGTGTCTTCGACGTTGCAAGTTGCAAAAGACAATTGTGTTTTGTATCGTGATCTTGATAGTTTATCAGTTCCTTGGGCTTTGTATAGCAACACTGTAGGACGTTGTGATGGTTACTCATCTGATCGACGTTTAGCCGTGCAAATAAATGGCACTATTATATTATAGGGCAAGCCGATTCATGTTTTCCTTAAGTAGTTTATTATTCCTGTCTGGTAATCTCTGATTATATTATGTGATGAGCGACAAGGAGATTTTTTAAATTATTCAATTCTAATATAATACTACGAAAGTAGGTATGTGTATGTGTAGGTAGGTCTGTTACGCTACCACGCCTAACCTAAACAGAATTGACTTGAGATAGGACATATGTTGTTTTATATTGTGATAAAAGGGTTAAAATAGGGAATCAAAGTTTGTATGGAAGTTCGTCATTGTCAGAGATAAGATCATAAATCACTATATAATGAATAAATATTAGTGTTAGCGTTTGTAGAAATGCTGCTCAAAGCAACAATACCACGCGGACGAAGTTGCGGGGAAACAGCTAGTATTAAATACATCGGTTATGCTTCGTCAGTACTCAAACGGTAGAACATTTTATGATCTATTTTTGCATTATAATTAACCTCGTCGACTGTCATTGCAATCTAACCCTAATGTGTTCTTGCTTGAACTGCAATAGTGTCAAGATAACATTACTTACCATCTTCATCAGTTCTGCAAACTTGTGGTACAGATAACGGCCCGTCACCAGCCGCATTATGTGCCCGAACTCGGATCTCGTATTCTGCATATGGTGTTAGTCTAGAAACTGTTGTCTCTTCACCCTAGGTGAAGTCAGTGTAAAGTTTCATCATTCTTAAGGTATAAAGGATTTATAAATACTCATAGAATACGCACCAGGAATGACCTCATTATTAAAACAGATTATTTACAATAAAAAAATACAGTTAAAACTGAAAAATACATTCTTTAAATATATATTTATTTTAAACTTAATGATATCTGAGAATTATAGCTTATAACATTTTACTTACCTGAACTCGAAGGTAAGCATCTTGAGATGGAAGCAAAGGATCAGTATCTCTTCTGGTATATTGTAATGTGTAATGTGTGATAATGCCACCCCTTGTATCAAGTGACGGTGGCCGCCATGACACTCTCAAAGATGTAGAACTACTTGATATGCAATTAACACTTTCAGGACCTGCTGTTGGCGCTAAAGGAGTTGAAAAATAAATAAAGTCTTGAATTCTCAGTTATCTTTTTATTGGTTAAGATATTAAGGAAACATGAGCCTTCATAATAGATTATAGACTTTGCTTTTGGTGCCTAAAATTAAAATGTAGATTGAACAATTTGTGTAGTTATTTCGATATTTCGGCCAATGAAAACGTAACAAAACAGAGAACAAAAGTGCTATAAATTTGTTCTGAATCGTTTGACCTAGATCGGAAAGGCCACAGTCCAATTAAGCCATTTTGCATTTTGATAGGGAAATTTACGATCGTCGCTTCACGTCGATAGCCGAGGGATTTATTTACGTGAAATGGTGACAAACTTACTGAAGTCTTGTTGAAGTGCCGTCATTGAAATTCTGGAGGAGTGGTGCATATTAATTTGATGCATAACTTATTAATCACTGTATGTTCGAGTTTAGAAGCTTCAAATTACAGAGATGTTGATGAGGCAGTATCGACATGGGACATCTCAAGTTGTAATGAATTGAAGTAAAATACACTTACGTGATTCTAATGTGTGACGAAAATGTGGCGGTGACAGGGGACCTGTACCAGCAGCGTTGTATGCTCTCACTGCAACTCCATATCGAGTAGCAGCTTTTAGACCTCTGATAGTTGTACTAGTTGAGTCAGCACTGGCCCCACTCTCAGACCCCGAACTGTCACCGATTCCTTTGCCTTCCTCAGAAACTTCCCACCATCTAATTGTATATCCTAATAGTGTACCGTGCCAAGTCTCTCTCTGTGGAGGCTGTAAAACCGCACTCAAGATTGATTACAATTCTTAACATAATGGTGTATCAAAATGTCTCCGTAAAATTCATTAAATTTTATGTCATAACCGTTTCGCTTGGTGCTTAAAACATCTTAAAAGATTCAAGCAGAAATTTATTATATTACTGTCTCTTCTGCGAGCCCAAATTGTCATATCTAATTAAAAATACATTATATTTATACCTGCCATGTGACATGCAGCTCGCGTGCTCTTAATGCACGCACAGTGATTTCCCTAGGAGCTCCTCCTGGTGCTTAGGAAGAAATAAGATTTCGTGACGTATAGATCTTTAAAGTAAATAAAAATAGTCTTAAATTAAATCCCGCTAAAACATTATCCATTATTATATATTATATGCTTTTTCTGTTCAATAAATTGCTTTCTATTTTATGGAAATATTTCACCATAATACCAACGATGTACAGAACAAAAGCTATAAGTGTACACATGAGTTTTTGAATAGAAGTATCATGTTTACCTTCCTCTCTGGTGGTGAAGTGTAAAGGCGCCGTGTAAGCGGATGCCCCTACATCATTGTAGGCGGCGAGACGTAGGGCGTATCGGGTGTCTGGCGAAAGTCCCGACACAGACGCCCCAGCGCGACCCGGCCCTTCCGACCTAAGAGTTAATGTGTTTGTTTTCTTTATAGCAAACATTTTGAAGAAATTTTTCTGTTCCGTTATACAGGTGTTGGAATTTAGCTCACAGTAGAACTGTCGATCAGGGACGATGCGTGGATAAAAAATAATAATTCTATTTATTCTGCCAGTCAGATAATAGAAAAATATAAGATACGTATTCTTATAAAGTGGAGAAGTGGGGGCTCGCCACGTCACAACTTTGTAGAAAATGTACAAAAGCGTGACGTATTCTAATATTGAATATTCTTTTTTTTAACACACCGTATTACATAAGTACATGTTTTATGTGTGTCTTGATCTTTGGCACCGTTGTTTTATTAACTAAGTGACAATCCCAAGATTGTCACTTAGTAAGTCTTAAATATTGAATTATGTAATGTGATCTTAACTTATGGCACATATAAGAATTTTTCAAATTTCAATGTTTAATCAAAATACTCGTACCATTGACTATTGTTATACACATAGCTTTTGAATTTGTTGTGTTATTCTATAATTGGCTTAAGTAATATTGTGTAAGTATATGGTTCTAATTATTGTAAACAAGCTGTTGAGTTACCAAATAAATTAAAAAAAGTACATTCCTACTGAAAGTATATATTCTGAGGTGACTTTTTCTGTCTGACTGACTATTACACTCACTCAAGATAGAACTAACCTTGATAAAGGACAATAAGTTTAAAGGAAAAGGGGTTGAAAGTTTGTAGGAAATTTCATCATCGAAAACTATATCACGCGAGCAAAAACTATTAGTTTATGTAATTTTAACTTTAATTTCTGATGGATTGCGTTTCTAATTAAGTTTTTATATAACATTTTCAACGAGACAGCTCATTTTAAAGAAGAAACGTATAAATGCTTTATACTTAAGACCACGAAGGCGCCTTAAAAGCTTAGATAACCTTTTTTTTAGATAAACGAAACGAGGTTGAGAGCCTTTTCATGTAACCATTACACTCTATTAGTGAAAGATTCCACCACAAAGTTGTTTATGGATCGGTTAAAGTCAAATCTGATTAATAGAGGCTAGATAACATGTAAAAGCTTTAAATACATGGGATAAATATTTCAAATCTGCTTTAAAAATATCATGTAACATGGAATGAAGAGTGTAATTATTATTGCTAGCAATATTATTTGAAAAACCACATTAAACATATGTTTCGTTTAAAATATTTTATATATTCGATTTACTTCGCCAGCCCTTTTACGTCCCCACTGCAGGGGCTCAAGCCTTTCTTATGGATGGTTAAGGAGGATGGGCCATGACCATCCACGCTGGCCCAATGCGGATTGGAGGGTATTAACGACTGCAAATGCAGCCGGGACCAACGGCTTAACGTGCCTTCCGAAGCACAGAGTAGCTCGAGATAATAATTTTTTGCTCACCCATCCCGTGACCGACCCTTGTGAAAGTTGCTTAACGACTACGATCGCGGGCCGCGGCGCTTATCCACTACGCCACCGAGCTACTCTACTACCACTAATGATCTAGGATTAAAATATCTATGACACGTATTCGATTTAACTATTCAATAGATTCTTAATGAATAATAATTTTTTTACTTTACTTTGTACACGAGTGCCAGGGACAAGGTGGATTTTGGATCTAAACTTTTATCAATAAGAAATTTATAACCGTTGTTTAGTTACAATTGTTATAAAATTCTCATAGCCCTAAATTGGCTGGACTAAAACGGCATAACAGTAGCTCAGTGGCATATTGGATAAGTGATAAGTTGTGATCGACCAAAAAATATTATTTCTGACTCCTTCGTGCTTCAAAAAGCGACTGCATTTACAGTCGTGATAGTTGTGATAGACCAAAAAAATATTATATCTAGCTACTTCGTGCTCCGAAAAGCGACTATATTTGCACTCTAATTTGCTAGCGTGGGGGGTCATAGCCCATCCTCCTCCATAAATAAAAAAGGCCTGAGTCCCTGCATTAGGGACGTAAAAGGGCTGTTGATGAACCTCTAACACTGTGACATCACTTTGCTCAACGCTATTTTTTATAAAAATAGCACTGCGCAGGTTAAATATCTCTGAGATTAACAGAATAATAAACTAAAGTACAAAATTTATAATTTATTAAACTGATTTTAAATTAAGTGAGTAAGATTAAATCGATGTTTTAGTTTTACCACGAAACCTCTAAGGTATTTTAATATTCATAACTTTAATATAAACTAACGAAACATAGGTTAATGTGAATTACCCAATGTAATTTATGGATTAAAATTGGATTTTAATCACATTACATAGCTAAGTAAGAGATATTTTTTAAATTTAAGGGCCGTGTACTCCAATTAAATTAACCTTCAATTGATTTTATATTAAGACAATCTATTAAGCTATAATGAAAAATGGGAATTATTCTAAAATAATCTATTACTAGCCAAGATGAGAATTTATAAAAAAAAATCTGTGAAAAAATATCACAAAATTACCGCTCAAAATCACACTTCTGTACTAAAAATCACCATTTTTACACGATTGCCAAAATAAAAAGTATATTGTATTTAAGATTAATGTATGTGGGTATGTATCGTAACTTTGAAGGTCAAACGGTAAATAAAGAATATTATTTGAACTTTATGCGTTTCATAAAGCAAATTCGACAAAAAAGGTCTGATTTCCGGAAAGAAAATTCTTAGATTTTGTAAAAAAGTATCAATTCAATGGTGACTTGACTCTTGAGGAATACATTTCAAAAATATATAATAAAAAATGAAATAAATAAAAAGAAATGCACACTTGCGTAACAAATATTAAACACATGTTTATTGAAAGTTAAGCAATCATACAGATATTCTTTATTATTTATTATTTGATAGTAATACCACTAATCCTATAAATATTATAAATTTCAAAGATTCTCCGTTTAAATGTTTTTCCGTTTTGTATACAGATAAGGTATTAGCTGACTTAGGAAATAGGATACTTTTTAATATCCCACTAAATACTTCCCTAAGGACTACGCGGGCGAAGCCGCTGGCGGAAAGCTAGTTATTATAAAGAATGATTACTTACGCCACATGAAGCAAATCCGAAATAGCCAACGTCAAATTTAGGACTTCAGGGGAGTCCCATGTGTCGAGTAGAGTGGGTAGCGGAGCGTCTAACGGGGCATTTGTGACTTCCCGAGAGAGAGGGCGATACTGAAGAGAGTAGTGCGAAACTAGTGCTCCTCTTGCAATTCTCCAAGTGACTCGTGCCCTTCGAGACCACACTTCTGACACTCTTACTTCTTCGGGAATATTTGGACGTTCTGTACAAAATTTGATCTTTTAATGATTTTATTTTGATATATTAATGACTTAGTTCGGCAAAAGGCTAATAGCCTGCATGCAGAGTACGGCCGATTTATTTACGTCATTTTCATTATGCGGTAATTGACTGTTATTCAATTCAATTCATTTAAATAAAAGATGGATACGATATAGTCAGTAATAAAGGGAGCGCTTCACACGTTTAATCTTAACAGGCGTACAAAAAATAAAATTAAACTTTAGATATAAAATAAATTATCGTCAATTTTACATTAAATAAGACGAGCACGAATAACAAATTACGAATAAATACTCGTCAATGGTGATTATAAATAATTATCAAATATTATGCATTATTTAAGTTGCATAAGTCATCGGCAATGTAAAAACATAAATAAAACAATACAGGGAGTCTATTAAGGTATCTTAAATTTGCAATTAATAAATAAAACTATGTCATCAAATCTATAAAATAATATTTTTACCTATCATAAATTATCTGGTAAATATTTATTAACACTGTAATAACATTTATGCAGAAGGAAGCACAAGTACAGTTTACCTTTATATAAATTTATTGGCAAGATACTATTTCCTTAGGTAATTTATTGTAAATTTTAACTGCTATCGAAACGCAACTACCACTATAAAGTGTCGTTCACATTTTTGGTAATAGTAGTATATATGAGTATCGGCAATGATAACAATTTCAATTGCTTAAAATAAGGCTTACAACTCGTCCTGCGTGAAAGGTCAAAAATGGAACGTGTACAATTATTTAGGGCTATAAATATTTTATCTATATCGACTAAATTACCCCATATCTAAGAATGGACGTCACAATAGGGATGACGACTGGGTAAAAAAAATGCAATTCTATTTAATCCGTCAGTCAGATAAAAGAAAATATTAGATACTTTTTTTTACTTCAATTTAACAAGAAATACCTTAGATAACAGGCATTTAAGTTGAGGAGTGGGGGTTCGCTATGTTACAGTTGAGTAGAAAACGTACCCTAACGTGACGTTATGCGAAATTTCAACTCCATGTAACGCCGTAATTTTATGATTACGAAAAAAATTAAAAAAATACGTGTTTAATATTTTTTAACACTCTACCTGACGTACAAACAAACAAAAATTAGTCATCATCCCTATTCCATGGTATAAAAGTAATGATTTTTATATCAGATATATTTACTTGACGACCCATATTAAACACCCATATTTTGTATATGCGATACCCATGTCAAATTTACTTTCAAAACTTTACCTCATTACTTTCACCAATTAATTGTCCGTTATGGTTAATTGAGATAACCACAGATCTTTCATTTTTTGGTTATGGAATTGGATATATTCTGTTTTATTCAAATTAATTTGTAAATTATTTCGTGACATGGTAATTATACTCAACTACAGAATCATAAGCATTAGGTATTACTACAGGTATATTGTCGCCGAACAATGAACAAAAATAATTTGTAGGTTTGGAAAGGTCATTGATATACAAGAGCAAGAGGATTGGACCCAGAATACTGCCTTGTGGTACAACTGAGTTGTTTACTCTTTAAATGAATGCTTTATTTTACTCCACATAAAACACAGGACAGCACGTTAAACATCAAGTACAATGGGTGGCTTTATGACTAAAATATATTTCTTCCAGGTTGGAGAGTATTTGGTCCATAAGAAAGTAGGTTTTATATCGCTAATATTTTTTTACAAATAATGATTTTGAATTGAGGTTGATAGCGCAGTGATTAGCGCGTTCAGTCCGGTAATAAGATGGGTGACCAAAAGTTAACACCAACCAATCATCATTGAGCCCGCGTAGTGGGTCGTGACCTATTCTCCCTATACGATTAGATATGACTGCATCATTTCAAATCGAATAGGGAGATCGAATCGATTTGCATTGCAAAGACTTGTAGTGTGGGCAGTAACAGGTTGATGATGATGATGATATTAAGGTAACACATATTGTATTTTGACCATTTCGTGTTTATAATTATTATGATACGTTTTAATCTTCTATGTTATAAATATTTTTGTGAAGATGCGAATAAAAAAAATAAAATATACTTGAAATATAAAAAACATATTCAAGTTTATTTTTCAAGCATTTTTAAGATATATACAAAAATAACAAATTAAATCATTTACCAAAATAACAAATAAAATTACTTACCTTTAACAAACAGTTTAAATAATAATTCGTCAGTGCCATAGAGGTTCCTTGCTAGGCATCGATATTCACCAGCGTGTTCGGGACCAGCGTGAGCTATTGCTATCTCAGAAACCAAGGCGCCGTTACCACTGTCTCTTACCTCCACTCCACCACTACCGCTATATAAAAATAAATAAATATTAGACAATATCACGTACATTGCTGTGTTTCAAATATGAGTAACTAAAGCCTCCGTATTATGGTATATCTTAGACAACGAAGGTATTACAATACCCAGATCCCAGACAATATAGAATAGTTAATGTTCTACGTTGACCCGACCAAAAATAGAACCCAGAACCTTAAAATTTATTACCATTACCATTAATTTCGCAATCATCTTAAAAAGCACCCTAAGTACATATTATATTTAAGAATATTATTAAAAACAAACATATAATTATTATCAACCAAATATTTGTTAAACATTCAATAAGAAAGTGTGATTTGATAAATTTGGAAGTGAGTACTAACTAATTAGTAACTTTATACGAACACCATCTTTGTATTCGTTGAATATTACTACTAAAGTAACAAGCACAAAATAAGTAACAAAACTCATAGCTGAAGTAGACTAATTTAGTATATTTATATTTCAATAGTTCCATTTTCACGATTCTTCTATTTCAAACGTTCGTTTGAGATGAAACATCGTGACTCAAACAAAGGCAGTGTCAAAGAAACCCTTCAAAGGATTTCTCAAACTGCGTCATCGTAGAGTATATTTATTAGGGTCAAAACACAAAACTGCGATGCCACATTGCATCGTATGAATCTAAGAGCTATTAATCGCAAGAAGTTGCGACTTATTTCGTAACAGTCAAGATCGATGTAAATCTACGTGAATAATAAATGAAAAGAAAATACTTTGGACCTCATTTAACGAAAAATGCGCGGCGGGAGTTCTGCTAAATTTTGCACAACTAAAGTTTATATAAAGAAGAAGTGTTTATATTTATTATAATCAAAATAATAGTCGTACCGTGAATAAGAGACTGGAGTTTTGCCGCATGAAATCGTATCGTAGCAATTCATATAGCGATTCGATCGCAAATTCATATCACTTTAATACGTAGTTTCGTGCTTTGGCCTTTAACAAGTCAGCAACCGGTAGCAAATTCTTTTTTTTTATATTGATTATTTAAACTATAACAACACCATAACTTAACCATTATTTAAATTCTTAAATAAATATATAATATATTTAATTTAAAAAGCATCTATTCTTAATAATTTTGACACACCCATGAGAAAAATAAAAATTATAATGTAGCATAATTTAGCATAGTGTGTATAAAGTTGTTCAAACTTGGTCTTACTTGGTTGTAAAAGTTTTACAAACAAAAGGATAATTTCAAAATTACTAAAATTTCTCTTTAGAAATGTACTTTTGTATTCATTAATTAATGAATACCCGATAAAGTAAAACGTAAAATATTTTGAATATTATTATAAAGAATTCATTCATTAAGAATATTATTATAAGGTATTCTTACAACTTACTGTAATGCCAAAGGCCTAGAATCGTGAGTCCAGTGCATATGTATTTCTGGTTCGCCTCTTACGATACAGGATAAACGAGCAGTAGACCCTCTCACAACCCATCTCGTTTCTCCGCTTCCACCTCTACTCAGTCTCGGAGGCTCTATTAAGTGATGAGATAAGAAATAGTCAGGTCAAATTTTCACATTTTTCAATTGACATAATTACTTTTGAATAAAGTCAGATTTGTTATTTCTCATGTGAGTACATAAAATTATACAATCGCACATTTTCGAAATAGGCCAATCGTCGAACAGAGAATTTCTTACAAGGACCCGGCATTACATTTCGCTTGCACTGATAATCTAGCCAATTTCGTCCTAAAGTTTTTGTAAAATAAAGTAAACCTAAAAAGTTTATGACATCTATCATTAGGCACAAAGGTTAACGTTTTCACTTCTCTCTGTTTGGTGACTGAACTACAAAAGTGTATCTATTGATTATAGATGAAAATAAATTAAACATACATAATTAAACATACCTCTTACATCTAGAAAAAATATATGGTGGAGGAACGAGTGCTGAACCCGAGCGGTGCAACGATACCACCCCTCGTGGTCTGGAGAGGCTGACCTAAGCCATACAGTTCCATCAGATAAAATTGAACCACCACTAGTATCCGTCGCTTCTGTTTGACCCCATAAAATATGTCGCCAATTTTCTCCATCTTTATGAGAAAAAAAAAACGCTTTACTTTCTGATCCTTTCTGTAATCTCATTAATCTGGATCATTCTCTATCTGATTTTTTGACAAATTTACCTGATGAATATTCCCATGAGATCCTTGGCGATGGTTGTCCTTTGGCAGAACAAGGCAATAGCAATGCTGCTCCAGCCGAGACTGAAGTATTCTGAGCACGCCATACCCATGTCGGTGGCTCTGTGTAAAGAAACTACTTTTTATGTAAAGCTTTTTAAAATTAATCTTACTATTTGTGTCGTATTTACCTTTTACAATTAATGATGCACTGTAACTAACTGAGCCAAAATCGTTACTAGCTTTGCATGTATATTCACCACCATGAGCTGATTGCAAATCTTGAATAATCAATATCGTAAAAAAGTCCATATTTTTCTGCTCAATCTGAAATTTACTGATATTTCAAAATTCTAATCAATGTAATCAATCATTATTTACGCGACTTAAAAATAGACATACATTTATACTTACCTTTAAAGTTGAAGGTATAGGTAAATTGTCTTTATGCCATATAAATTGGATTGGCTTGTCACCAGACACCAAACTACAGGTAGCTTGGGTACTACCACCTACTTCTAATTCCTCCGGGAAGTGAAAGGATGTTATTTTTGGTGGTTCTAAAAATATAGTATTAAGTGAGTTCAAGCTAATCGAAATTTCATTTAGCCATAGACATAAAACTTACTGTGTACTTCAATTCGAACCGCCCTCCTAGCTAATTCTCCACTTTCAGCACGAACTTCACAAGTGTAAGTACCGGCCAACGCACTTCTAACTGAACTCAGTCTTAATATTCCTCTATCGTCAGCTGGTTCTATTGTTACATCTACTAAAGATCCATCTTCGCGACGCCATGCTACTTCTCTGAAAACCATTATACTAAATAATAAGGTAAAAAATGTATGTCAATAAAATGAATTTAATTTTATAATAGTACTTACTTTATCGGAAATCCAGAATAGGGACAATATAAAGATATATCAGTATCAGCCTTCACATGAATCGTGGGTAAATATCTGATATTAGGTGGACCTGCGTAAATCAACAAGAAATTAAAAAAACTGTTGTGGTAGTGATAAAAATGGAATGTTCAATCTTTTGCACTTGCCATAAACATTTAGCCTTGCATGATGAGAATGCGACCCACGTGAATTAGTCGCATTACAACCATATCTGCCTCCTTCATCAGCTGTTCTTATTGTCACACTCAATGTCGATACTATAGCTCCTTCCTCTCCTCCAGGTAAAGATTCAGCTCGCGTACTTACGGTATATCTAGTAAACGTATATCAATTACATAACCATTATAATTGATGGTTATAATAGTTGTAATATATTTTTTAATTTTACTATATCTTATTACTTATCGGGAGCAGCTGGCAGTGGTCTATCATCTAAAGTCCAAAGGATTCGAGGAGATGGAATTCCCGTAGCTGCACACCTTAAAGCTATACTTTGACCAGTTCTAGTGACAGCTTCACTGAATGTCGCAACCAAACGGGGAGGTCTATCTAAAACGCAAAATAGCGTGTTTTTTATATTGAACATGCTTTACTAGTGTAAAGATAGGGTCACGATTTAATTCGTGCGTAAACAAAACATAAATTGCGACATTACCAGCTATAACGACTTCGGCACCCGAAACAGCTGTTTCAGAGTGATCATGTGCAGTGCACTGGTAAAGCCCTGCGTGATGTGGTCTAATAGGGCCTAGGGATAGGCGTGCCTGAGGAGCGTGAAGCGGTCGACCTTCGTGCTGCCAACTTAACGTAATTCCTCCCCCGCGACCACCTTGCACCGAGCAATTAAAATGACCAGACCCGCCGGTGCCTAACATCTGCAGTTATAATACTTATCAGTATGCTTTCGATTCTAGAAATTATATATCAATAATGATTTCGTGTTTCTATTTTGCTGTACATTTGTGAGTTTTTTTATAATACTTTACTATTACAAACAAACTTCAAAAAGCAATTACAGTTTAAAGCTTGCAAAGCTTGTAGTTTTTGCATATTCGACGTTGCTTACCAATGGATTAGGACTAACAGTGACAGTCAATGGTTCGTACACTATTAATCGCACGATCATTCTCTGTGATAACTCTGATCCCCAGGAACATGAATATTTCGCAGTATGATGGTCTCTCACATTTGGAAATATTAAAGCTCCATCTTTAACCATTGCATCACCAGCTGCTGAAGTCCAGGATCCGGTTGCATCCTGCCGCTGCCAACTGATATTTAAAGTTCTATTTACTATGCATTCGTGAAAGGGATTATTATAAAATACTAGATGAGCATAAATAATAGACGGGTATTTTTCATATTCTAAATAATATAACATAATACTTTATTGAAGCGTGTTAATAAGACATGCATGATTTAAAAAAAAAACTGAACAATCTTTTATATGTTAATAAATGTCAAGCAAAACTAGATGAATCATAATTTTACATATCTATTTAAAACCAGTTAAATTCAGTAGCTTACCTAACAGAATGTCCCATGATATGTCTTAATATACAAGGCAATACTATGGTGTCTCCAGTTCTAGCTTCTATCGAATTCAGTTCGATATTTTCCAACCAACTGCTATCTATGGAAAATAAATTGAAGTATTTTAGAACAATCGTCGAAACTTCAGCACGTACGTTAAGGCTGCCTTCAAATGACGGTCATTACACGACCTTATAAAATTGTCATTAATATGAGAATTTATAAAGTAATGCGGACGCGTGATAACGAAACCAAAACGTCTTGCGGTCAAGAGTGGCAATTGGTTTCCATTAGCGTGTGAAGACCATACTTTGGTAAAGTGTCTGTATTCGACAGCGCGTGATCGTGCGTTGATAGAATAGGTATTTATATATAACGTAGATGACGCTGTAAATACGAGATAAAGCAGGTGGACATGATTGCCACAGTCATATGATCACTGTCAGCGAACCAATAGTGAACTGTCGTTGCCGTCATTGATTTAACAGACAAAACATCCGTCGTATGAACTTGACCTTGAATAAATATTTCAAGGAGCTCACCATCTGTTGTAAGTTTTAAAGGTGTACTCGGTACGTCTAGAGCTACGCATGAATAATCAGCTTGTGTATCCGCTTGAGTTAAATCTGAGCCGAGTAAAAGTCCTCCCGCACCAGACACCCAACGGGAATCTGAAACAGGTCTTATTTACTGAATTATGTTTATGAATTTGTTTATATTATATTTGATCAATTCTGCATTCACAATGCTATCCTGAAAAATATTCTTTAATGCAAAATGATTAAAAATTCCACTTAGATTTCTAATTAGATTTCGTACTGTAGTAGCGAAAATGTGCTGGAAAAATACATCAGTCCTGTAAGGTTGAACCTCGAAGATAAAATAATTTATTACATCATATTTGTAAATGAAGATATTTTGGAATTAAAGGAGTATTCTTTACAGATAAAATGGAAATGTTTCCTCTAACTAATATAATATTTAACGATATTAAATATTTTCATTCCCTTATGAAATTCTTTTTACAGTAGGAATTGATCACTTTGTAGTCAAGAACTAGCATGAGCAATTTTATTTAATAACTACAAAGGTCCTTAGCAAATTCAATAAACTCCATTTGAAGCCGGGCACTAAAAACACGGCGCGTAGGAAAGCCTCGGCCGCATTTGATTGTTTTAAAGAAATCGTTAATCTTAAAGGTTACATAGTTTATAGATATTAATTATGCAATTTTATTGTTTTTTTGCTATTAGACGTCTTCGACCTCATATTTACAATATTAGAATTTGTGCACTGATTACGTTTTCCTGTATATTTAATTTTAACAAAACAATTCTAATGCTAATTGTATTTAACATAACTTTCAAATTACTGTAACATTTTTTTAACTACCAATAACCCTTACCAGTGCCAGAAAATGCCGAGGACAGCGGTAGACCATCTTGGAGCCAAGTGATATCCACAAGCCCAATTTGGGGGGACACCTCACATCTCAAAACCACAGAACCTCCCAACTTCGCTGGCACAAGCTGCCGAACCGTATAGCTCAGTATGCTATCTTCCACTGTTAAAAATAAAAACGTAAATCAGTATAAAAACTTAATACGAGGGTCAAACTGAAAGTTCTTAGAAAATCAAAAACTGATTACATTAGCCAGTTATTAGTTTTATTATATCTTTTCAAAATATTGTCCATTCACGTCAATACACCGCTGCATGCGATGGAACCACTGGGAAAAGCACTTTGCCCACTCGTCCTTAGGGGTCTCTTCAATGGCATCGCGATACGCAGCCACCGCTTCTTCAGCATTCATAAACCGCTTTCCTTTAAGTTTTTCTTTAATTTTTGGAAATAAATAAAAATCACAAGGCGCGAGG